ATGGTCACTTCCTGTTCACTGGTTGCAAAGAAAACCAAGATGGCGACAACCAAACCCCAAACTTAAGGCTTCAAAACATCCGTCCACAAGAGATGACTACGTCCTCTTCTTATATTCAGTAGTAGCCTTTCAATCGTTATATTTCGGTGTTCACGTTATTAAAGCACTGCGGCTCTGTGCCGTCCTGTTATTCCAGAAGTTAGGACGGCTCTGCAGCACCTCCTCCGTGTCCTGCAGCCTCCTTTCCTCTGCAGGAGATCAGCTCGTCCTGCTGCTGCTGCAGAGGATAACGTGAGCGGATCTGCTGACTCAGCACTCAGGCCTGTTGCGTGTAAACAAGGATACCTCTGTGACCTCCGGATCACGTGGGGGGGGGGGCTGGATCTGGTTTACAGCATCAACACATGTTGAATGCGTCCTGTAAACAGTGAAAACACACAGTTATTATTTGACAGGCTGCAGCAGAATCGGCCCTTAGACAGAAGTCCAAAGGGAGACGTCTGCTTGAGGCGATGCGTTATTTTGAGTTTCCAGTCGGCCAGCTGGGGGTCATGTTTCCCTTCATAACTTCCTGCGTCTCTGTGACTCATTACAGGATGTGTTTGATCCAAAGAACAGCCTGACGGTCAGATTTTGAGTTTTTCCGGCACGGTTCCTCTTCTGCAGCTTCTCGACGCGTTTTAACATTTTATTACTGAAAACATGGAGGACATTCATCTTTACAGAATTTATTTATGAATTAAACAAGAATTTTGAACCTGGTTTTATCAAATGTTCAGATTTAAGTTCTGGAAATGTAGGAAAAGGAGCATGTATAGAATAGATATTCATTATTTGTATATAAACAAAACCATCTCAGAAAACTTGTAATATAAAAGATAACAGTCTTAATGTCAGTAATAAACTGGTGATATCTGTAGTGTCTTCTCTTAAATTCATTTTTCTTAATGGATTTTGACCAAAATCTCTCCTCATGTGGGCATTTAAAAGTGTAATAATAAACTTATTAATGGAGAAACTGACACACTGAGAGCGAGACAGGGTCAGAAAATCCTTGTTTATGTCTGACAGCTGCTGCTCAGAGAGGCCACAGCGCCCCCTGCTGGCCCACTGGAGGTATTACTCTGCAGCGATGCGTCCACCAGTAAAACTACAGACTGTTGTTAGTTGTAGTTTAGTTCCTGGTGCTCACAGGATTTTAAAACTACATCAGCCTCGCTTGTTTTGGAGTCAAAGAACAAATAAACCTTTTAAAATATTGGCACATAAAACTGAACCGCTGCACAAAAACACTTCCTGGTGGATCACATGACTAATTCCAGCTGTTTGTGTCTCTGCAGCTGAAGCCTGCTCCGGTCAGCGTGGTGACGGCCGCTCTGGATGCACAGCTGGTCCTGAGGAGGAGGAGGAGGAGGAGGAAGAGGAGGACCTGGTGATGATCCCCTCCCCCATGGCCAGCCCCCCGATCCGCTACGCCTCCTGCACCTCCCTCAACTCCACGGCTGACACCGACCCGGACGGCGGCGCAGAGGACGAAGAGGATGAGGAAGAGGAGAACGGGTTCCTCCGTCTGGACACCTCCTCCCTGGAGGAGAGCTGGTTCGTCACGCCGCCACCGTGCTTCACGGGCCGCGGCCTCCAGCCCATCCTCCTGGAGGCCAGCCCTCTGGAGAACCTGCTGATCGAGCACCCCAGCATGTCGGTCTACGCCCACCGCAGCCCCCCCAGGATGAGCCTGGACCCCCTGCCGCGCTCCCTCGACCTGGAGCTCGGCTTGTTGCCTGAAAACGTGCCCGCCGCCAAGACGCCCTCCGCCGGGAAAGAGAAGGGAAGACGCACGCTGGACGGCCCTCGACACAGGTAACGTCCTGATGAACCTCTGTACATTAAGGCTACTGTGAGGAACTTTCAACTGGTCCTGAACCAGTCTCAGTGTAGTCCTGATCCTCTATATGAACCAGTCTCAGT